TTATTTTAGCTTATGTTGATGATCTTGTGATTGCTGGAAATAGTCTTGACAGAATTAATGAAACCAAACTACATTTGCACAAAAAATTCAAAATTAAAGACTTAGGACAACTCAAATACTTCCTTGGTTTAGAACTAGCAAGGTCTGCAAAGGGTATTGTTCTCAGTCAAAGAAAGTATACTTTGGATCTCATTTCTGATACAGGTTTGAGTGGTTCCAAACCACTAACAATTCCTATGGAAAGAAGTACCAGATTGAGTTCAGTAGGCACTAATCCAGCCATTAAGAAAAGGACAAGACAGAAACAGAAAAATAACAAGGAAAATGATCCCATCTTACAGGATCCTTCATCCTATCGGCGATTAATAGGTAGGTTGTCTTATCTTACTGTTACAAGACCTGATATTTGTTTTGTTGTGCAGACTTTGAGCCAGTTCATGAGCAATCCAAGAAAATCACACATGGGGGCTGCTGTACGTGTAGTGAGATATTTGAAAAACAGTCCAGGATTGGGGATATTGCTGGCTGCAACCTCCAGAAGAGATCTGAAGTGTTATGTGGATTCTGACTGGGCCACATGTCATGATACAAGGAGATCAGTAACAGGCTATGTCATCCAGTTTGGTGGGTCCCCCATATGCTGGAAGTCAAAGAAACAGCAAACTGTGTCAAGGTCTTCAGCAGAAGCAGAGTATCAAGCTATGGGTACAGCTATTTCAGAAATAACTTGGTTGACTCGGATGTTAGGAGATCTGGGAGTAAAAGGACTTGAGCCAGTTAAAGTACATTGTGACAGCAAGGCTGCCATATACATTGCCACAAACCCGGTCTTCCATGAACGGACAAAGCACATCGAAATTGATTGTCATTTTGTCTAGGAGAAGCTACACCAAGGGCTTATCAACTTGGAGCATGTTAACTCTAAAGATCAGCTAGCTGATGTGCTCACTAAAGCACTTGGAACAGAAGATCATCGCAGGTTGATAGGCAAATTGGGTACCACCAATCTCTATGGTCCCCAACTTGAAGGGGGGTGTTAGAGTTATAGATATTGAGTTAATGTATTAATATGGTAGTCTGCTGTTGGGCCAGCGTAGGGCCTAGAGCCTAAACAGTCTTCTTGTTGTTGGACAAAGCAGTGTACCGTGTGTATATATATTTCTCCTAGTTATCAATAAAGTGTAGAGGTTTTCTCCAGTATTTCTTGGGCTAGTTCGCCCTGTTTACAATAAGGTTAGTGATGTTCCCATTAGCATACTGGCATGGACGATTGTTATAGAACTGTACCCAGACAAAGTCAAAGAGGCCTGTGTTAAGGGCAGTGCCCAGAAATCTATCAGGGTAAGGGCACTGTGGGGCCCCACTTATGTACACCCTCCTTCCTCCTGCCCTGCCATAGTTCTTCAAGAAACGAGCAAGATAATCATAGTACTGTGTCGAGCCAAGTTCAATGTCGAAGTCTATTCCGTCCAAAACTGCGTCGCCTAGAGGCCTTGACGATGACTTACCTCCCAGGAAAGTGTCCCACAAGTACTTGGACACGTTTCTGGCATCCTGAACGGAGGAAAGAGAGTAGCTGCTGACGCCGCCGCCGATAGAGAGCAACACTTTGATTCCCTTTGCCTGACAGGCTTTGATCTCCGAGCTAAACTTGGCGCATGAGCCGGCAATTGCAGGGTTACAGTGCCCGGCGAGATTCATTTGTGGGGTTTGGCCGTTGCCGAACTGGATGAGAAAGGCTACGTTGACGTAGGCGTATTTCCCGGTGGGACAAGCCTCCGACAGGGTTCCCTCATTGCCGTTTTGGCCCCAGTAGATGGCGATGCCGCCTTGTGAGGCATCGGAGAATCTAAGGAGAAGAAGGAAGAAGAGGAGGAAGGGGAAAGCTTGAGAGGATTTAGCCATGGTCGTACAAGTTGTTTGATTTGTGGCATGCTGGTGATTGGTGAAGCTATATATATCGTAGTCGAATATTTATTAATAGGGCCAGTTGGTTCCTTGTCACCAGCCACAAAGTTTGACGTTTGAATATAAATTGGCCGGTTCGTAGAATATGAGGAGGCCATTAAGTTTAAGGGACCAGTTCACAAAATATATATATATATATATATATATATAGAGGACCATTTCCCACTAACTAAAGGTCGGTCCTAGATATTTTACTTGATTCCTCTGTCAATTAATTAACAACTCTTACGTCAATTAATTTTTGCTGTTTGTTTATATATTTCACCTAGAAACTTATTTTCAGTTCGTCCTAAGAGGAGGCATGCGTGTCTGTTTGGAATAAAATTGGAACGGTACACATGATGAGGGGAATTAGTATGTGAACTTTTAATTGAAATATATGTTTAGTTTAACTTAATTAAGGTAGATGTTCCTACTTTCTTATATTCAAGCCCAATCTGTTTTGTGAGGAGCTTTAGCCCAACTAATATTAAGCCTCTCCTTTAATTTTTCAAATGTGAGTTGTGAGGGAATATGATAGATGTGTGAATATATCGCCAAAAAAAAAATCAAAATCTATTTTATGGGGAAAAATCAGATTTAACTTTTTTTGGTAACACCAATAGATTTAACTTTAATTAAATAAAATGATGTCCGAGTTAATCCGAACTTGTCCTTATATTTAATCCGTGTCTGTCATATAGATAATTATCGATTCATACTCAATATAATGAAAAGCTTCTTATTTTTTTTTTTGACCGAAGGGGAAAAGCTTCTTATTGAAACATTCATTTTTGTTTGGCTACGTACTCTGAAAGTTATCTTCAAAATAAAACTGGGTTTGCCTAAACTGATTAACCATATGAGTTGAGCTAATATAAAAAATTATTTTTATGAGAAAAAATGTGAGGGGAGCTGAGGTCAACAATTTTAATATTAATTGTTGTTTACTTACTTTTAAATTTAAGTTCCACATGTTTTGATTTGACTAAAATGTATTGCTTCTACGAGCATGAGTATGTAAATGTTCTTATTGATAAAGATAAGCATAAAACTGAAATTTTCAAAAGTTTGCCAGCAAGTTATTTAACCAAGATGAGCTAAGACAAGTCAGAAATAAAAATATCGCTGCAAAATTAGATTTGACAAGCTTACGCATATCTTTATAATTAAGTTGATCCATTGTCTTTTGACAGATCAGATGAGTCAAGGAATAAAAACTCATCTAATTTGTCCCGAAAACACATAAATAAATATCGATAGAAATTTTTCTTAGTAAAATAATATATGTTTGAGATAAGGAAAAGCCACAGGAGTGGGATAACATAGACCAAGATACAAATACTTGTTAATTGTTTGAATTTCATGGCCTAATGTTAATTATTTGATGTTAAAAGCCAAGCGTATCCCTATCTGCAAGGAAGCATTATCTGCAACTGCAAGTTTAATGAAATTTATCTCCCCACCTAATGTTCAGTTATTATTATTTATTATATTTCCCTGTTACAAATAATTTATATATATATGGTTCTATACAACATTGCAATGGATAGCGTTCATTCTTTAATCCAATTGTTGACCAAGAAGGGGATTTGATAATGATACTGTGATTAAATCAAGACGTTGAAAATGTCAGAAGTCTAAAGTTTAGTCGAATTTGTAGATTCATTAATCATAAAGATGGAGAATAAGATAACATAATGATATATGGAAGTCAATGATGTGGGAATCATATTTTGTCCTTTGAAAACGTCAAGCTATCATTTCCTTTCCTACTTCAGGGCATTAATATGTAGAGATGCTTCGTGTCTCTGCGAGAAAAATGTCAAAGGTCGGCCTGGTCAACCTGTAACATATACTTCTTCCGGTCTTTAATATAAGAGTTGTTTGTAATAAATATATGTTGTTTTCTCTAAAATACTTTTACTAATCATGTGTATTAGCCAGAACTACCATTTCATGAAACATTTAACATGCACAATCACTACAAAGATTACTTTAAAAAAATCGATAAGGATGACAGATAAGGTGGATTGAGGTTTTATATTTATGACTAAATTAAAAGTTAAACTAGTTTTTATATTAAGAACTGGACGTAGTATGCAATATGAAATGTATCATACTAGTATAACTTGAGATATATCCATAAAACAATTAAATTAAGTATGAGGAATATAAAGCAGATCAATCCGCAGGTTCGTGGTCGATCGGCTGGCTCAATGATTTATGTGGAATCCGAAGTTTCCATAGTTTCTCCCGTAAATTGCTTGAACCCTCCTGATGGCGCGTTAAGTGTTCACCATCAGGAGGATGCAAGCAATTTATTTATTTTTACTTTTATGCTCATTAATTATTAGTTAGTTTTACTACTTTAATTATCCACTCACTTGGTTTCTCTTTCCTCAAAAATAATAAATAAGGGTGTGCTGAAAATAAGTTGGAATTCATTTTTATATTTAATATTTTTAACTAACTTTAACCAAATTTTATTCATATAATTTGGTTATTTATATCTTATAAAAGGGGCTGAAGCTGTTGGCGGGGGGGCTGAAGGGAGTAATTTTTATCCTGATGAATGATAATGCTAGATAATAACCAATTACATATTCTCAAATCAACATTTATATTCCTTGCTCCTCATTAATTATTAATCTAATATCTTTATCATTCTTTGGGTGTTCAACATTGTGGCCCAAATACAAACCTACTAGAATGACGACATATATGGGCCAGCTTAAATACAAACCCAGTGGTCAATTATTTTGCCACGGCATATCTCTGTAATTTTTAAGCTTAAGATCAGTTAGTCATATTAATTTTTCATGAGCTCTAGCAGAGCATTGGTTGGTAAAAATGATCATCATTGTTTGTTTGCTCGTTATAATATTAAAAATGCTGGAAAGAATCTAATTTTTATACTTAATTAAATAAAAATGAAAATGAAGAGGTCTTATTGAGAATTACTATCTCCGGTCCTAAATATAAGAGCTAGTAGACTAATTTGAGGATATTAAAAAAATAAGTTAAATTATTTATTTGTAATAAATAGATACTGTCTTTTCTAAAATATCTTTACCAATCAAGTGTATTAGTTAAAACTACTATTATTAGAAGGACTAATTTAGAAAAAAATGTGCAAATATTAGAGATAAAATGGATTGGGGTCTTATATTTAGGAATAAAAAAAAAATCAAACGAGGTCTTATATTAATAATCGGAGGTAGTATATATAATTTTCCCCATCCCCTTTCCTCTTCATTATAGCTTCTCCTTTCTACGTTCTCCACCACCATAATTTATTGCGAGTAAATATTTTTTATATGAATAAAAACAGCAATTTTTTGGCCCAAAAAAATATACAAATCACTCAACTCAAATCATCATATAACAATTAATATTCCGTGTCCCACCCCAAAATTGGCTTTTCATTAATCGAGCAACTGTAGTTTTACTCTATTATCCTTTTCAATGTTTTAATTAAATAAACGTACAAGATTGGCCTGTATTTTATTATTTCTCTTGTCATCATTTGCTTACAATCTAATACTATTCCTCCGGTCTTTAATATAAGACTTATTTAACTAATTTGATTAGATTAAGGAAGTTAGGTAAGTTAATTAATTATAAGAAATATGACACGTTTTTTTTTAAAATATCATAATCATCTTTCTTAATACCCCCTCTTTCTCTTCTACTTGATTATGGTTGAGGGAGTATATCTTTCTTAATACCCCCTCTTTCTCTTCTACTTGATTATGATTGAGGGAGTATCTATAGGGGTAATTTAGAGAAAATTGATAAATCTAAGAAATGGGTCTTATATTTAGGATCAAAACCAACTCAATAATTGGGTTTTATATTAAGCACCGGAGAAGTATTAAAATCACATTAGAAGGCGTTGGGGTCGGTGTAATGGGCATGCTAGAAATGCAAGGATATATCAAATTAATTAATTAAACTGATTCTTTTCAACGAAAGAATTTGAGAGTTCTTGATGGGGTCCTTTCTCACAATTTTTCTAATTGTAATTGGAGAGGAATTTAGGAATTAAGAGCCTGGAAGAAATGAAATTGGATATAAATAATAAGGCATTTAGAAGGCAACTCAAGTATTTGGAACGAAGTAAAGAGAAAACAAGCAAATGAGGTAAATACATGAAGGGAGAAATATAATAAAATTACAAAGGAGCTACTACACAGTGCAGAGGATTTGTCTTTGTATCCTATTTGTTTATAAAATAATCATTTTATCAAAACTACATACCATATCATATATATATATATATATATATATGTTATTTACTAACTTATTTGTTTATCGATTAACATTTTTCTCTGTCAATCAAAAGAGGGCAGTAATAATCTTTGAGAAGAATATTACGTAAATGTACAAATGTGAAGATCCATATTGTTTTTAAATTGTCAACATGTTATTTCATATAAAAATGTATTTAAATTATGATTTTTTTATCAAATGATTTTATATGTTATAAAATCATATCCTTGATAAATACACAAAATAAGGAATTTGAGCTAACGTCCCCAACACCCCCCCAAAAAAAAAAAGGAAACTTCATTGCCAGCTTGGTACTTAATTATATAAATTGCATGTAGTTAATGGCTTTAATTTGTTACTCAAAGTTTCCCAATTTCTAGAATTTTGACAGTTAATATTAAATGTCAATTTTAAAGGCCTTCTAATTTAAATTGAGCCAGACTTTCAATTTCAAAAAAATTACAATCATAAAAACAAAAACTAAAGACTAATAATTATAGGATTAAACTTTTGTTATAGTTGATAACAAACTGACAAGAATAATCAAGTTTGCCACGTAATTAAAATGCAAGGCACTAGCCTGCTCCTACAACTTGGTCCATACACGGTAGCAGCAAGAGAGGTTGCAGTCACAGTCTGGTAGTGCGATAAAAGGCGATACAGAACCTCCGCCGCAGATTTCATCATGGCAACCAATGGCGCACGAACAACATTAAAAGCTTGAGAGGCATGGCATATGATCTGATCGCTATACCCAGACATTTTGTCATAGTTATAGCCCCATAACATAACCCCACCAAACTTCGAAGAGGTTTCTACCTGCGGAAGAATCCCATTGTTGAGCGTATCGATCGGGACATAACCACCGGCACTGCCGTTAGCAGCGGGAGATGCCGGGAGGCCGTCATAGAACTTGGTGGCAGTGAAGGTGGTGGTCCACTGGTTCCATGAATTTATCAGTTTTTCAGTGTCTGCATCATCAGTGTATTGGCAGGGAGGGTTGTTGTAGAACTGGACCCAGATGTAGTCGAAGAGGCCAGTGGTAATGGCTGTGTTTAAGTAGTAATCTGTTATTGGACATTGGGCTGTTTCTGATAAGTAAAATTTCTTTTGTTGGGTGTATGCGTAAAGCTCTTTAAGAAGGACATCCCACTACAAGTTTGTACCGCCTTCGATGTCAAAATCAATGCCATCTAAGGCCACAAGTCCTAGGAGACCTGGGCTCTGGCCAGTGAGGCAGTAGGTCCACAGGTGGGAGGCAAATTGTTTGGCTTCTTCAGCTGAAGCAAGGGAATGGGAGCCAGAAGCTCCTCCGAGTGAAAGGAAGATTTTGACGCCCACGCTTTGGCAAGTGGCTATTTGGGAGGCATATTTAGTACAAGGGACACCCCAGGACCAATGACAGTGTCCTGCTCGGTTTATGTTTGGAGTTTGGCCATTGCCGAATGTGTTCATGAATGCTATGTTGATGATCTCGTACTTTTTGGTTTGGCATGTTGCATCCAACTCTCCTTCATTCACATTCTGGCCCCAATATATAGGTGACAATTGGGCAGCTTTGGGATGAGCTCAAGTGAGAGAGGAGCAACAGGGTGATAAACGAAGCCCAGCGACTGAGAGAACAAAAAAACTCTTGTTTTATTCCATCTCAGAAAAAAACTAATCAGTCAGTCATATTTACAAGGCTCTCGGCCAATATATACAAACCTATCTAACTATTACAACCCTATGGGCTTTGAGAACAAGCCCAAATCCTATAACTTAAACACTAGGCCCAATACAGAGGAGCAACTAACTCTAATAATTCTAACACAAGGGCCAAAGGAGGAGGACCAAAGCTTGTGTTTCGGAAGCCATGGAGGTAAGGTTGAGAGAAGAAAAGGACAATGCTTTCTTGTTTATTGCAAGAGCAAGAGAAACAGCCAATTTATAATGGGCTAGCTAGGGTCGGGGTCATTAACGTCAAATACTTATTTTTCATTTTTCTTTTTTGTTTTTTGCCAACGTCAAATACTTATACTTTTCACATGTATGATTAGGATAGGAAATGAATCATATTAAAGTTTATAGCTGCCAAGAACTTAGCCTTGTGATTCAAAAAACCAATGAACCCGTGCGGGAGATGGATTCTGCTTTTCACTATAAAGAATAAAATCTAGAGAGGTGCAAGATTTTTACGTAGCCACTGTTAATATAAGAAGCAAGCTAGGGGACCAACAAATGGTCGATCTTTAATTTGTATTACAGGTGATCTAGATGGGGATGTGTTTCTTTTATCTTTTAGTTTATGAAATTTTGATCACCACTCTAACGTTGGATAGGTTTTCTTGAAAAGGGAACCTTATAAAGTGTTGGTTTCCTAACTCCTAATTTTTAAAAGGGAAAATTAATCTGGAGTTTCTTCTAATTTACTCAAGTTTTGAATCAGGTCCTTGAAATTTTTTTTCTTTTTATTTTAATTTTTCACCTTTAGGGTTGTTAGTTCCTACAGTTTAAATTTGTTAAATAAGTATTAACACTGTTAAGAATTTCTGTTAAAAAGCACTGCCCACTTGATTGCCACTTCTGAAAACATCATATTCTCTTCTGGTTAGCATCATCTCCTTCCATTACAACCTCAGGACCAAACTCTCCTCTCTCTTTTAGCTTATTCATCAACATCTCCCCTACCATTCTTGAACGACACAATCGTGAAACTGTACCTAGAGATGAATTCATAGATGAGAAGGGATTGGCAATCCAGTTTGACACAATAACCAAGGAAGTGGACAAGGTTACCATGGTTGACTTGGCAATGACTCAAACCTTGTTGAGAATTTAGTCTAGTTTAGCTTTGGAGAAGTTGTTGGTTACTTCCTTGATCTCTCTGTTTTTTCTATTACTAAAGCAGGGGCTTGAATAAAAATAGAATTGTTTCTCTGTGTTGCAGACAACTTTTTGGCCATTTAGACATCATTACCTTAATTTTCAGAGGCATCAGAAAATTGCTTAGAACCAATGGATCTTTACTTTTGTGCTTAAACGTTGATCTGTGAAGCATCTACATGGCATGGCCAAGATTTTGGGTCCTATTTTGTGCTTTACTGTGACAATAGTATTTGGTTTGGTTAAAAGACCTCCAATACATTTTATAAGGTTGCATCCATCAAAACTGTAAAATAATTCTCATTCATTGAAAGAAGATTCAAATGGCCTCAAGTTGGACAGAGAAGGAGATGTGACCGCAGGGAGGTGTTATAGTGAAATGAGAAGAAATTGGGAGCCATTTATAGGTTGAGAGAATGAGGGAGAAGAGGAGGAATGAGCAAAAAGAGAGAGAGGGGAGCGTGGCAAGGTGGAAGAAGCTTTTAGACGTGGCTTTTTATTATTGAGTAGGCCATGCTTTTTAAGGAAAATTCTCAACCGCGTTAATACTTATTTAACAGATTTAAGCCACTGGGACTAACAGCTCTAAAAGTAGAAAGTTAAAATACCCAATTGAAAAAAAAAAATTTAGGAACCTGATTCAAAATTGAAGTAAATTATAAGGGTATCTAAATTAGTTTTTCCTTTTTAAAATGTGGTTTTTCTAAAGATTTGTGCTCCTATTGAGAGGCAACCAACGAGAGACGGCCTATTAATCTTTGGTATACACATGTTAATGAATATATTATTTCAAAGTTGCAATTTCCTATTGATTCTCATCTCTAAGAAGAATGCAAAATTGACACGATTGGTTGATGATATCTACCTACACATATAACACGTTTAAATTAATAAAATGTGTGTCTGCAGGCGTACGTAAGAGAGAGAAAGAGATGGCTACACCTATTAAGTCGCTCTGTTCTTAATTTAAGCAACAGTTTATCTGGCAACACTTAAAATTAACCTTAATTGCAGAAGGATAGCAGCATTGTTCACGGTAAAATACACACGTCATAAATGGTGAAAAATGGGACTCATTCTATCAAATGTTGAGCATAGTGCCAATCAAGAAACCGTACGTGTCTCTCGTTTCAAAAGGAGCTTTGAAACGGCAGCAATATATTAAAGGAGATTAACCAAATATAGACATGGATGGTTGGTAAGATTTCTTATCATGGAGTATAATATTAAAACTTTAAACGTGGTTTTCATGTCTGATTAAATTTATTTCTATTAATTCCCTATCCAACATAATTAAAGTGTATTCCCCCCGTCCCCCTTTTATTTTAATTGTCACTTTCAAAAGATTACTACTATATACTAGTTTCGATTCTAATTATACGAGTTAATTGACTTATTTGAAAAGATTAAGAAAATAAATTAAGTTAGTTATTTGTACTAAATATGTGTTTTTTTTCCTTAAAATATACTTGTTAATCAAGTGTATTAGCTAGAATTATTATTGTTAGAATGATTACCTTAAAAAAAAAGTATAAATATGAGAGAAAAAGTAGATTGAGATCTCATATTTATGATCAAAATAAAAATCAAACAAAATCTTATATTAAATATCAGAAGTGGTATTTATTTGTTATTTTATAGTTGTTTGAAACAACAAGCACATCATTCATTTATGAGAACGGACGCGTGAAGAATGAATAAATATAATGCAGCCGATTGTTGAAACCGTGCGATGTGGGAGGCGGGGTGCCACGTCTAAGCTAACTGGGCCTTCTGCTGATTCACGTGATGGAGAGTTGGAGGCTAGCGAGGGATGCATTCGGCCATATTCTGGGTCATGGATGGGTACATCGAATCTCGTGTCTAGTAAGATATGTATGATTCTTTGATTTGGCAGCGTCACGATTCATAATTGCTTCCCCCAGTACATGCCACGGTGACACACACACACACACACATATATATATATGTATGTATATATAATTCTATATATTTATACTCCCTTCCTTACTTGTTATAAAATTCAATTTTGTGAATAGGTTTGTCTTTTTTTATAAGATTTTTTTTTTGAGTTTGTCAGAATATTTAATATATTATTATCTATTTTATTATTAGTTTAATATATTTAATATATTCGTTTTCTTCATTTATCTTACTATTACTCTCTCACATCTGTCTATTTATATGTAGGGATATATTTGGAAAAAATTATATTTGTTACATATTAATTGCTTTTTATTAATTTTAACAATTAAAAAAAATCTTATAATAAGGAGCAAAGTAGTATATATTCTTGGGAAATCCAGTCCTGATATGATATTTTTTTTGGGACTTCGCAGGTAAAATAATTAATCAACCGCCTGTAGATTTACTCTATCTCTTCATCAGGACTCAACTAGACATGATGATCGTGATTTGTGAGCGCAAACGAATAAATAATGTCGTTGAACTATTGGCCCGGTTTGATTTGTGTCATTAACACCAGGATCGCCAAAAACATCCAAACCAACAAGAAACAAGAGTTAAAACCTCAAAAGAACAATATCACATCCATACTCAATTGAAGTTTATACTTGCTTCCGATCCTTAATATAAGATATAATCAATTAATTTAGAAAGATTAATAAAATTATTAAATAATTTAATTATAGCATATATTATATGACTTTTCTAAGCTACTTATATAGATTATTATATTATATCTCAATTTATAAGTGAAACAAATTAATTTGAAAAAAATAATAAATATAAATAGTTTAAAATAATTTAATATTTTTTTAATTTATTTAAATTAGTTAATTAAATCTTATATTAAGAATGAGAGTGAGTATTCGATTTAGTTTGTAGTTTAAATTTTTGAGCGACTAACATGATCAACTTAGAGATTCAGTAACAGTCAAATAAATGCGGACGATGTTTTCTCATTAATTGTGCCACGGTGCAATTAATTAGACTTTGCCTTTGTTTTTATTCATTGTATTTTCTTTTCTAAAGTATTCCACGTTCTTCTTATGGAACTTGTTATCCAAACAACTGTTTCGTTGCGGTCACTATTTTTCTAATAAATTGTTTTTTCTTCAAAATTTTCTTTAATTCTCACTTGAGAAAAATTTCTTGAGTTATGTGCATTTTCCCCCATTTCTTCAATTTTTTTATAATTTGTTAACAAATTTATAGATTAAAATCGATATATTTTCAAGAAAATTTTAATTCATTTTGGTAATGCACCCCTCGCCACACGTCATCTAATTAGGGTACCCGAGGGAAAACGATAGATTGGCATGAGGCTGCGAAATTGGAAAATTAGTGATCAATTGTACTTTGCGTTTGAGAGGGTTTTTAATCACCTTGGCTTCTCTCCTTTTTGGTTCCGGTCCCGGCCTTCTTTTACCCTGAAACCACAGCGTTTTGGGGTAAAATGGGGTGATAAATGTATACTTTTCTAAAGATCATTTGACAAAGTGAAATATTTTTTACTGGCACCCAGTATGTTAAAATAATTTTTTATGTACATAATACTCTAAAACACTTATTAAAATGGTTTTTTTTTATTATACTTATT